CATCTTAAAATGCCTAACTGTACATCTAGAGGAAAAGCGAAGAGCAGCTGGGTCCAATTTGAAAGGCTCAACTTGCGCACGTGTTTTTCGAAACATCTTGCTTTCTTAACGTGAATCAAAAGCATCCGAATGCCTACCTAGGTTTCTAAGAAACGACCATTCCAACCCCCGTTTAGTGGTAAATTCCACACGTCTGTTCCGAAACATCTTCCGCCCGAGCACTCAATACAGTTCGAGTTTCTGTGAGCCGAAGAAGGACAAATGCTTGAAAGGCCGGCGACGAAAGCTACAGTGATATAGAGCCGAATCAGTGGGGGTTAAGTACAAACCACCCTGTGTCAAAATACATGTCTTTGTGATCGGTGCCGAGTGATTCCGCGAAGAAAAATTGCCAGTGAGTTTAACATGTAAAAACCATTGTCTGCTGTGCACAGGAAATGTTTCACATTAAATGATGCTCACCCAAAGGGTGTTCAGTTCGGGTCTTATGGGAAACCTAAGGAAGTTTTGACTCAGTTAAATAGTTTCTATATTTTAATATTTTAAATCTGCTGGTTAGAACGGTACTTAATGGTATTACGGGATAAGGGGAAATATGACCCTCCAGAGGGGGCGAATATGCACAGCATAGAGAGGGTAGAGTCATATACATATGTATAAAGTGATCAAATACATTGATTCTAAGTTAGGGTGATATTGTTGGCACATATGGACTAGTACGCGATTGTCCAAACTTTGAACTAAACATGTTTTTGTTTGAAAGCAGCTGAAACACCGACAATTTTTTCAAAATCAAGATTTAAGACGAATTTACCTAAAATCTAGGATAATTAATAGGAAGGTCTGTAACTGGCTGCTTAGAAATAGCAGCTATCGACCAATTTGAAGAAAAATGCACCTGGCCTGGCCACCTTGAAACCGAAGGATTCACACCCGAAATTTCACGCAATGAATACAATAGAAAGCAAATTCCCAGAAGAACTGTGTTTCCTGATAGGGCTAATTGTTGTGATCTGTCCTGACAAAATAGATCTGCGCAGCATGGTCAACTTGACGACTTTATTACCTGTGTGGGCATTGTTAGTCGGCCAATTGAGTCAGAACTTTCTTACTTTTCCCAATGTCTTATTGCCCAGGAAGTGGATGCGGTTTAAACTTCAGTACCTATCTAGCAATTCATTCCAAATAAAAATTAAAATTAATTTAATTCGCCTGCATGTATTATGCAGGCCAAACCTACTAAGACTTTTATTTATAGTGTTTTTTACTTATTTTTCACCGTTTTCAAAATATAATGGTAACGCGACATTTTGAAAAATTACAATGTACATTACATTTACAATACGTACATTGTACATACTTTCCTGATTGTGTTTCAATTCCAAATCAAAACGTACATTACAATTACGATTGTGCTATGTAGATCTATTTTACCACAAGTTAAAAAAACACTTAGAAACGCTCGAAAATTTGGTCCTGGAGTTAATATTCTACAAGAAAAATGTTGTAGACATTCAGATTTTGCAAATCATCGGCAAAATTACGACATAAAAATAGGGTTTTCCACAGTTTGAAGCTGCTTAGCAGTTATTCTTTAAAAATCAAGAGCGCTCATGGTTAAGTGCAGTATATCATTGTGGTACGCCCATGTGTT